TGACATATTCCCTGTTGTTTTGGCTCTGTACTTCAGAACATATTAGAAACAAAATGAAACTATGGCTGTGGCTAAATACTTGACTTTCAACTTTAATTTGAGGCTGTTTGCATTTAAATTGGAGGAGCAATTTATTAATAACACCTAAAAATGAGTGAGAATGCATAGAGTATATGCAGGGCAACAATTCCTCCACTGTTAATCCTCAAAGACCCTTAAAGCTGAAAGTCAGTGTTTTTATTTTCAAATCTAGTGTACTGTAGAACACATCAACTAACCAATTAATATATGCAATTTCACTGTATTCACAGGTTTTTAAGAATCTGTTTTTAAAAAATTGTCCATCACTACAAAATGGCAACACTTATTTAATGTGGTTCCAATGAAAGTAAAAACCAAGTAAAGGAAAGGCTTACCAGATAGATCCAAAGTCCCTCCTATGTTCCAGAGGTGGCAAAAGTACTCACATTCCTTACTCAAGTAGCAGTACAGATACCAGAGGTGGCGATAAGTCAACAGCAAGTCTCAAGTCCTAACCTTCAAGTCTCAAGCAAGTCCCAAGTTACTGTGGTGAGAATCAAGCAATAATGCAGACATAGTAGCTTCTCTAGCCTTATAACAATCCTCTCTAACGTTACAGAAACAACGCATTAACAGACAGGCAACCTGTTTTTTAAACTTGCTGTTAAGTCCCACCGAGGAGCGTAAACATCACTCCCTTTTAAGTAGCTCCAAGGTCGGTAAATCCATATGATAATTCACTGTTGTAACATTGTAGATAAGTCAGAAATCAGGGAAAAGCATGCCATGGGCCCTCTAATGTCTGTCAGTCTCTGCCCTGGATTAACTTATTCATCAGTACCAGTGACTGCAGTTGTTGTTCAAAAATAATTAAAAACACATCAGTGAAACACACCACTGCAGTGAGTAACATTTCCTCATTACAAGACACAAGATCAGTATATTTGTTAAAATTTCTGCAACAAAAGCTTCAAATGACCAACTTTTTACAGCTTCTGAAGTAATGCATGGCTCAGATGCGCATACGCAAAGTCTCAGTGAAAGCGAGAGGGACCTAGCAGAGTGTAAACAAAGCAAAGAGCTTGTAATGAAGAAATGTCACCCAGTGCAGCGGTGGGCACATTTTGCACCATGTTAAATAAAAAATGATCACAAATTTCCCTCAAATGTATTAAAACAAAAAGTAATGAGTCTTATTTGAAAATATGAGTAGAAAGTACAAATATTTGTATTAAAATGTAGGAAGTACAAGCTGACACAACAATAAATAGAGTGCAGATACCTGAAACAAATACTTCAGGACAGTAACAAAGTATTTATACTTCATTACTTCCCACCTCTGCTAAATTCTGAGTAACTACTAACGTCAAAACAGGAATTTACTATATTCCATCATTATAACCAAAAATGTCATAGCTTGGAAAATAGTAATGTGTTAATTTGTTGCTAAGAAATGAACAACATGCAAACAAAAGACACTAGACATCTTTCGTAAATGTAGGGATTTTATTGTTTCATCTGTGTTTGCATATATGGAAATATTTAGCTTCTTTCAATAGTATTCATACAGTTTATATGGGAATATTTACTGATTTCATGAAATTATTTTGACATAACATTTCCTTATTTGACGTATGTTGAGTTATTTTGTTATTAAAGGGATTTGTCAGGGTTCAGGTTAGATATGTTGTCCATATTCATCTAAGCTGAACTTTAAATGGGCCATATGTTAGTAAGCTAACATCAGTTAGCTACACAAACATTGCACCTTGCAGATACTGTAAATATATTTTAGTGGTCAAACCCTAATACTGTGGTGATGAAATATCTTTTCAATTAAATATAAGCAGCTGATCATTAATATAAGCAGCTGATCATTATTAGCAGCAATAAAGGACAGTTCACAATAAATAAAACTGTGGGATGAAAAGACACCCCCATATACTTACCAGATAAGTATATCAGTGGTTGGGAAGGTAAACAGTCATGATGTTGCTAGTGATAAATAAGAACCATCCAATGAATAAATAAAACTCTATTACATGGAGTGCCATGTGCTACTGCTCTTAAAATACTCACCATAATGACTTCAGCCAAGCAGAAAGTCGTCTTCATCAAGACTGTATTTTATTAATGATCTTGCAGACTGGCGTGACAGTTCCTTTTGCTGACCAATCATGACTGGAAATGTGATATGTACAGAGAAAAATACATGCATCCTTCTAGAGGCGCTGTCAGCACATATATCCATAACATGACTAGAACTCGCATTCAGGGGACGTTTTTCTATTTCTGGCTGGTGGATGGACACATAGGCTAGTAGTACATCTCTGTTACAGAGCTGTTAGTATCTGACAATAAATACAACTTGGCTGTCAATATTGATTACCAGCAGTTTTTTGACAGACTGATTAGAGGCTGAAATCCCGCCATGAGTACTTGGACTCCTCACACTGTAGTGATTATGGAGAGTAAATAGTGCATTCAAAGGACTTGGCATGTGAATACAAATCAAGGGAGGTTGTACTGATGGAGAAGAGTGCTGTCAGAGTCATCAGAACGTGGGTTAGTCAGAGGAGCTGCAGGGGTTAACTAAAAGGAGGATGTAGGAAGTGGGAAAATTGATGTGCCCCAAGATCAATACTGGAGAGCGTTTGGATCTGAACAGCGTAACTAAATCACCCTGTGGCTGCTGCTTCTGGGGTATCAGCCTCCACAGCCTCTAGCTGATGATTGGTGTGGAGAAGGTGTAAGTGGCAGGGTCAGAAAGATCATACAAGAAGAAATGAGGAAAAGTTTGAAGCAAATAAAGTGGTCTCTACAGCCGCTTCATTGCCACATTGTTTTGGATCAATATCCATCAATGCTGGTTTTCCTTAAGTGTAAAGTTTAAGTACCTCAATGAGCATCAAACATGGTTACAATGCTTCAACGTGCATTAGTGGTTTTGAAGTGGTCTTACCAAATTTAGCATCATCTTGACAAAAAATATCTGTGATGCAGCACGCTGTGGTAAATGGATTCTTGTGGTTCAAACCTCAACATATTCAGCAATTTCCAAAAATGGGACTCAAACCATGTTCATCTCTTCAGCAAAAGTGCTAAATGCATGCATGATACAGTGTTTTTTCTTACAAAACAAACAAACAGGAATATTAAATAATCAACAAAATAAACTGATAAACCACATTTACAGTTGGACAGACACGGGAAATGTCAATTTAACTTGTTAATGTCAAATGTTTCCTTTTTATCCAAACTTAGGCAGCTTTAAAGTTGAAGTCATGTTATTTTTTCATTGCCTGTCCGTATTAAACAGTATATTCTTTATTACCATGTTTCAACTCTCACCTACTGCATACATTATCTTTACACTGAAATATTCAAATCAGATAAATGACATCAAACATGTCAAATATTCAAACTTAATGCTTTTTATAGCTACATCCCATAGAGATGGACAGTTACGGAGATACTGTGTCCAAAATTCACAAGATATTTGGTATTTTAAGAAACTTTGGCATCTCCTCCAGAAATGAAAACAATGTTTTGTAGGTTTGAACAAAACTTGGCAGCACATGAGTTTCTAATGACTGACCCACCCATTTAGGGAGAAAACCAAACACACTGTGTTCTCATCTGTGCAGTAGTTTCCTACAATAACATTTGAAACCAGAGGTCAGTGAAAATGAAGGTTTCCCATACGGCACATTCCTCAGTGGACTGACTTCATCCAGGGGAAAACAAGCTCGTTTTTTCATTGTTAAGCTCAAGATCATCACAGAAATTGTGTGTGTGTGTGCTTCTGCTGATCTGAGTTTAGACAAGTCGCCCCCTTGTGGTACATGATGATAATGTACCTTGCTGTGCCTTGTTGTGTAAGGAGACTCATGGGACCATATTTGAGCTAGGATGTTGCAGAGTAATTAGCCAAGTACCCTGGAGTATGCATTATTTTGCACAAACATAAAGTCACAAACTTAATTTTTAAATGAGTAGGTCAACAGAAACAGGAGAAGAACCTTAGGTTTCTTTGGTTTTCTGTACATTGACCCAAATTTCAGGACACAGGGCTTTGTGCTGGTCTTATTTTAGAGTGCATATAAAAAAAGTAATTCCAATGTTGTGTCTGCCTCATTTCCATATGTGGAACAATATTAAATACACACTTAGAGATAATGCAAACCAGCACAACAATGCCACAAACTGCAGTCTCACACAGCCTTGGCACAATGTCAGCTGCAGCAATTAAAAATGAGAACATATGATGTAAAGACACACGCTACATGGCCAAAGATATGTGGACACTCAACATTACATCCATATGTGATCATTCGGTATCTCCCTCCCAAATCATGGGCATTAATCTGCTGCTCTAACAGCCTCTCAAACGTTTCTGATCTCAGACTTTTCACCAAAATCTGGAATCTGGCTACAGGGATTTTTCTCATTCAGCCACAACAACGTTACAGTTGGCAACTATTGTTGAGTATTAAGGTGGCTTTGCCTGGGTTTGAGGTCAGGTCTCTGTGCACGCCAGTCAAGCCATCTCCTTCAGTCTAAGAAAACCATGGACCTGGATTTGAGGTACTGCCAGGCTAAAGCAAGAAAGGGTCTTCCAAAATGTACAGTAGTGTTTTACATAAAACATTAAAGAAATACATTATAAACTGATATACAAAACAGCATAAATATTTTAACAGGATTTAAATGAAAAAAAAGAAAATAGGCTAAAATAAAAAATACATTAAAATAAAACAAGATAAAGAACCAGGAAAATAAATATTAGAGTAGTCTACATATATTTGGCCACATAGTATATGATGGGGGTGGGGGGTGTTAATGCTGCTGAATTGGTAAGATACTAAAGTTGTCGCTTACACGAAATATAAAACATTTTTGTCACTTTTGCAATGAAGAGCTCACGTGAGATTAAAGCAGGAGAGAGAGAGTGAGAGAGCGAGAGGAGCAGGTTGTTGCTGCAGGAGTATGGCCCCCTCTCCTCTCCTGCCTCCTCCGCAGTGCACTTGCAGCTGAGCAGCTCTCCGGACAGGACAGTCTCCTCTTCCTCCTCCTCCTCATTCTTGTTCTTCTCATCCGTGTGTGTTGGCGAGATAGTGCGTTTAGCACCAGCATCTGACTCCAGTCCACACGTCCCGGACTGATGCGCGATGGTGCGGACTCATTGATAAAAATCCGCGCTGCCGGGATTAAAATGAGCACTCCCGCCGAGCCGCTCTCCTCCTCCACATAGCGCTGCTTTCTCTGCACAACACTTGTTTTATGTGATTCCAGCAGGCGACGCAGGATGTCTACTACTTTACCGCTGGTGATTTTGTGCGCTTTGGTAAGTAGCCTGTACTTTACTGTAAACGAGTTTTAGACATCCTACCCACTTTATACTGTTATTAACAGATCTCCTTTCACTGTGATGTTTCTGTTTTTTTTCCTATATTTTTTCTGCTGGGGTTGAGATTTTTATTATTTATAGAAACCTCAATAATCCTACAGGGACTTTGTAGTGAGTTTTGCGTGGACCTCAGTTTTTCATGACATGTTTTCTTCTGTGTAATAGCTGCGGGTTCCCTGTTTCCTTCTAAAATACAGTACTAAAGGAGCAATGTGCCATTTTTTTCCTGCTAAACATGCAGGTGTTGCATGTAGTTACACACACCTCACTCTTTGGTTTTCATCCAGGGAGAAAAAAAGTTAGACAGTGCTGCAGGATTAGTTTCAGAAAAGCTGTATTCCGCTTCACACCGGGCTGCATCCAGACATCCAGGGGGAGTACAAATAATTCATTTCTTCATTTCAGCTTTTAGATATTTGGATCTTGAAATAAGAAGAGATAAAGATGCTGCATCTTATGGAAACTAAACCAATTCATTAAATTCTTAGTGCTGTAAATTATTTGGCTGATTTTGACATAAAATATGCGACTCTTCTCATAATGTGAAAGAAGTTGATTATGGGGGACGGTGGTGATAAAGTGCAGAGCAGAAGGCGACGTTCTGGTATGTCGACAGCAGCTGGTCTAATTGGGCTGTGCAGCTCAGTCATTGTGTGAACAGCCTGGATGTGAGGGGACACTCTGTTATGACATCTGGTTTAATGGCCAACAGTCAGGTGCTCTTTAGTAAAATCAAATTTATAAATAAACTGTCAAATTGACCAAGAAATTGGGAAGAGTACAAACCACACATCAAAGCTGGGTCACTGCATGTTTTTCCTGCTGCTGGTATACAAATTTCCTACTGAGATTACCCTTTCAGTCTGTGTTCGAGCTGAGTGATATTCCAGAGAAATGTCACAGGAAAGGGAGTTATAGCAGCAGACAGGGACATGATTCCTTCTCCATGCACATACAAGAGGGAACTCTTGAGGTTCTGGACTGTATCCAACTACATTTTTGCAGACAAAAAATTTGCCTTTATCCCTGATGACAGACTCGAGTCAAACCTGAGCTTTGTGCACAAATGTTGAGCGAACAGTCAGGAGAATTGACGAGGAGGAGAAATGCACTTGGAGAGCAAAAACTGGAATGACAGAAAGGGGGAAACATCGAGCAAGAGGAGTGAGAATGAGAGAGAGAAAGAGAGAGAGCTGCTGGCTGCTCATTACTGTACATGTGTTTCTGAATGAAAGCAGGGACAGCGTGGGGGGAGGGGGGGAAGAGAGAAAGGCTAAGATGAGGTCTCAGAAATGTGAGTTACATGGAAATGAGCTTTTGTTGGTTACATAATAAAAAACAGGATATGTAATGATTTTCTTTGTTCTAAAATGTGGCTATATCCTTTATTTACCACTGATGTACCACACTTGTTACACATTAGGGAAACAAGCCTCAGTTCTATTTCCAGTGGAGCTGCATGGCATTTATACTGCATAAGTGAGTACAGTGAGAAAATGCAACAAGAAGGAGAGAGAGAAGGTGCTCGTCGGAGTAGATTAGACGGATGAAGGGTAAATTGTGCGTGGAAGAAATGTAAACCAAATCATATATGGAAATACTTATGTGTTATTAAGAGATAGGAATACAGCAGAGGATGTGTATTTACAGTACAATAGCTGTATGCTTCAGGTGTTTAAGCTGATCACAACAAATTAGGACTGAGCTACAGGGTCTTATTATTACGTAATGTAAAAACAACTGCATCTCATTAGCTGTGGATCCAGTGAGAACGAACATTTAACTTGTGGGAAAAAATGTGTTTCCGTTCTATTATCAATCTCCTGGGAACAGCCGTCAGATTACGAGGACTCCCATTTGGGAACAAAAAAGGCCCCACAAGGTAAACTATCAAACTGTATTAATAGGACCTTTTGGTTGAAGATTAAAATAAGTTGATGTAATGTCCTGAGTGACAAAAAAGCCAATTTGAGTTTTAGACCTTGAGGCCATCTTTGGAAAGTGGGGACATTTTGGCCATTTGGTTAAGTTAGGGGATTTTCCATTTAGCATTTGTGGTTTAGACTGATATAGAATTAGGCTAAGGGGTGGATTTAAGCATGCAGCTATGATAGTTAAGTTAGGAGTCAGGTACTAGAGAATGAATTATTCCCACAGAAAACCCTCACAGTACAAGAATGTGTGTGTCGGTGGTGATCGGGAGCAGAGGTTGATGTACTCTCACCTTTAGACCGTAATCAGGACAGCCATGTGTATAACGTCATGCACGCATGGTTTTACTATAAGTGCCAGAACATGTCACAAGTTTACTATTAGAGCTGATGTGCTTTCAGGGGAGCTATTAGGACAGCTTAGAAAGCTTGTTCAAAATGTGTCTAATATAGGTGGAGACAATATGATTTATGATGAATCCTGATAGCAGTTGGGTTTAAGGAACAGGTTGGCCACCTGGCAGCAATTTTCATCAATTTGTTTTGCTGTGCAGGTTTAAGCCACAGTTTCATTGTGCTTTGTTCACATGTGAAAGCTTGCTGTGACGTGTGTGTATGTGCATGAGCTGCTCTGACGTATTGTACCGCTGTCCTGCTGTGCCAGGTGGCGTTAGTGTCCACATCTAAGACGGAGCGGGCCGTGCCCTGTGACTCCGGCCAGTACACCAAAAGTGGAGAATGCTGCAACGAGTGCCCACCTGGAGAGGGAGTGGTGAGGAAATGTGGCGCTGCTCAGACAGTCTGTGCCCAGTGTCTGGACAGTGAGTAAATATTTTTCATTGCATGCATCTAATTTGCATGTCATTTTATTCAAGAGTTAAAATGGACATGAGCAACTAATATAAATTATAAATTAATCAACAAAACAATGGCACCACTTATCAAAGTGGTGCCATTCTAACAAATGGCTTTAGTAATGGTTATAAATCATTTACGAATGCTTTATAGGTCAACGCTTAGCTAGCAACACAAACAACTTCTAAGTTCTGAATTCCTTTGGCTCACCCTCTAAAGAGGCCTGGTATTAAAAATGCATTAACATTTTATAAACACAGATGTAATATATTATTGCAAAAATAATGTAATAATAGCATATTATTATTTATAGCTGCAAACTTGATGGCTTGTTAGAAAGTGAGAAACTCATGAGCCTTTATACCAAGTAGGAAAGAACAGACAACAGCAAAGGAGATTTATCTTCAGAGCCTAAAAGTTATTCTTATTTATGGCTTATAATGATATTAATTTTCTTAATAAAGTTGTTTATAACAACTGGAATGTGATTTAATTTAAAAACCTGTGGAGCAAATTTAGTCAACTTTAAGAATATTTTTCCAAGAGCATAAAAAAATGCAACCACACTAAGTCTTAGAAGCAAGTTGATTCACTTTTGAAATAAATAAAACTATCACTATCACTTCATGTTCCCACTTTGAATACAAATGTGATTTTTCTTACTCTATTCTTACCATCATTTATCTGTTTTATGCTCGGAACTTGTGAGATAACTGCCTCTGAGGTTTGTGCAGCCACCTCCATTTGAGTTGCTCAAAAGTGCTGAAAAGATAACGTTTCAAAAAAACAAAAAACACTCGGTAGCAAAACCTCTTTCCACATTGTCCATAGACCTGACTGTAAACCGTTTTCATCTTTGGTACAGTATGGTTCCAATGAAATCTGCTCACAGTGAGGTCAAAATCTAATTTTCAATTTCAGGGATTTTGGGTGAACCGATCCTTTAATAGGTTGTAAAAGTAATGCTCTGCACCAAGTACGCAGAAAAAATATAGCCAACTTCCTGAAATATGTCAAATGTAAGAGGATTAAATTCAATCTTGAAACAATCAACAGCAAATATCTACTCGTGTAAACTGCTGAACAGCTGCAAAACTGCAAGTGATCACCAGCATTACACACACTCAGACTTGATTAATGCAACGTCTCTGTGCTTACATCATTTTTTTTTATCCATCCACATTCATTTTCTGTGACTTTAATGGTAGCTTGGGCCCTGAACTCCAAACAAAAAGACCGGCAAAGGCAATACAAGCTGCTATTGTTCAGTTTGCCTGTTTGAATGTGTCAGAATTTACGTTTATCAAGTGCTCTGAGAGATAAGGCAATAATTCATATATTTGATGACTGTAAGTGGGTCCAAATGTGTTCATTTATAGCTCTTCTCAGGCTGCGAACCATTAGCACTTGCTCTACAGACCAGAGCTGGGAGAGGTGCCAGCACTGCAACGACACAGAGAAGAAGAAGAGCAAGTGCTGTTCTCGATGCACATGCTCAATGAGGCAGCTTCAGACTTTGTGGTGACTCCCATAGGGCAGGATTACAAAATTAGCTAGGTTTAGATGGTGATCACTGATTGCATAATATGCTTGTCAACAAGAAAAAGTAAAGGTTTTTTAAAGCTAAATCATCTTAGTGCAAAACGGAACACAATAACTGGACATCATTGTGAGGGAAATGATCAAATTCTTGAGCGATGGTTTAGGTCCAGAATTAAGACTTTACTTGATTATAATCGCTGAATTCTTTGCACAGCACATGCTGATTTCTACATTGTGTTATTAGGAAGCTCAAATCTAGCTGATGCCACCTCTCTGAAGTTTTTATTCTTCACATCAAGGACCCCAAAAGCTGCAGCCATGGCTGTGTGGGCAGGGTGCCAGTTTTCCACATCTAGAACACGACAACATTTAAAAAAAATGGCACATAGTACTCAATTTTAAATAAATCAACTCGGTCACACAAAGTCAACATAGTAAAAAATAGAGGTGTGAAAATGGGTCTCTGCAAAAGTATAAGAAATAATTCTTTAGCATCAACATTGTTAAAATCCAGTCCCACCAGTAGCTGGAGAGCAATTCATAGTCTTCATCAATCACTGCATATGATTGACTGGAGCAGGAAATTGGTTGAGTAGAGGTGCCTGGAGTCTGTAGCCAAACCGGTGGCAGCCTCATGAGAATGTGCACTTTATCTTTGCTTTGACATCAAGATAGAATTTTCTTGCACGTCATATTCTGTTTTTATATTCCTG